TGGCGAGAGATTGTGAGATGACATCGGATTTTTTGAAGATGGATGCTAGTTTCTCATCTTTCATGTTCTGGACTCTATCAATTAGCAGGGCAGCAACGTAGTGTCCTACTGTGGCTAAGCCACTTTGGGCTGCTGGAAGTGGATTAGCATTGACGTCTTGCCAGAGCTCAACGAGCTTTGGAAGTGTGGCCTGGCAGAAGGCAAGTACATCTGGTTGGCTCTGCTGCTCTTCAGACAGGTTCCACCAAATGTCTGCTGCCCGGACGGCCCAGAGCCGCTTGACGGGAACACGCTTGTCTCCCATGCCTTTGATAAAGGCATCGGATACCGCCTTGTCGAGGGCAACGCCGTTAGCTAGACCAAAGTTCAAATGCGTTGTCATTGCTGACACTTCTGCAAGCACAGCTGGCTCACTCGCTTCCTTCAAGGCCACGGCGGCAATTCCTGCGGGAATTTTCTTGGACAGTGAGGCAGACTCGGGTAGCGCCGTAAGCATCTGAGCATGCAGGACCTTCTGATCAGCACCCGAAACCTTGCCCTGCTTGAGAGGATTCAGCACTTCGTCTGCCACTTTGTCAATCTTGTCGCTGTCCTTTGATCGTGAGGCGAGGGCCTTGAAGGTGCGCAGGGCGCCAGCTCGAATCACCGGGTTGGTAGACTTGACGTTGGCCAGCAGCGGCTTCAGCATGTTGCCGAGGAGAATGTCTGAGAGGTCCATAGACTCGGGCAAGGCGAGGATCATGGGCGAGACAATGTCGTTGAGCACCACTTCAGGTGCTCTCAGAAGGGCCTTTTCAATGGGTTGGAAGACATTGGTGCGCAGTTCGTCGAGAGAAGGGAATGTGTCAAAGAAGTCGTGCAGGGCATTGGAGATGTGGTGTGGAAGTTGGCTTCTCGAGCCGATAATCTCTCTCGTGTAGAAGGCATAGTAGTCCTGCTTGTGATTTTCAAGGAGCGGCTTGACGCTTGGCAGGCGGGAAGAGACGCCTGCGATGACGCCGAGGAAGACGGCATTTCCAGCCGTGGGAGCGGAGCCCTTTGCGGTGAGGGTGGTGACGAGTTTGGAGAGAGCGTCTTGGGCGATTGCCTCAGAGCGGAAGACAGCGCGCAGAGCCCGACGGGTCGAGACGAGGGCAGAGTGTGCGAGGCGGCCTGCCCGGCGATCGCTGCCTGTGCCTACACACAACTCTATTGCGCGGGCATTGGCGAGGGCGACGTTCAGTCCGTGGGTTGCCCATGCATCGGCCGACTTTGCGAGTTGCAGAAGCAGCACCGAGCACCAGTCATTGAGCACAAAGGCATTGGAGTGGGCAATGGCTTTCTTCGCACACTCTTGCTGCAGGAACTTGACGATGGGCGGCAGCACCTTTGTTCCGTGTGGGCCCGTCACCAGCGACCTGAGGACGCCTTCGACGGCGCGGCGGGATTCGCGGTCCTCGTATAGCGGGTATGTCTCGAAAAGTGTTTCTAGGAGCGCCTGCAGGTCGGCAGTCACCAGCGCTGCTGGACACGACGGGGTCTCGTCAGTCTATGGCTGGTCGTATACATGCACACACACATGCATATACATGTGTGCGTGCGGATGGGTGCATTGGGGCGTCCAGGCACTCACAGTCATCTGCGACCTGTTGCTGCAGGCCCGACAGCTCGTGGATGCGGCGCTTGGTGGAGCTCGTGATGAGTTTCTGCCACAGCCTGTCGCGGTCCAGGGCCTGGGCTTCAGCATCCCCGTTCACAGCCATGTCGTCCAGTCCATACGCAAAGGCCAGATGCGGATGCGGGGAGGTCGGCGGGGTGGGTGGTGAGGAGCAACAATCGCGAAATGATAATGCCAAGAGTTCTCGTCTAAGGATTTGCCCACTTGCGACCGACTACGCAGCGCCATGACATCGTTGCTCGGCGCTCAGTGCGCACTGCTTGCCATCACCAAACCCCCACTGGCCTCGTCTCTGCCGCCTGCCGCCTAGCTGCTGCTTCTCCACCAACTGAGCGCCCTGATGCGTCCCGTCTGTACCTCAGCCCTGCCCAATCTTGATCTCACTCGGGATCAGGCTCCGAGGTATTCTATACGGCAGCCCGCTTGAACTACATCCCTGCCCCTCACCTTACTTAGCACCCCCCGGATCGTATCAATTAGCCAAAAAGAGAAAAGACGAGATTCGCCCCAGCCCTTCCCATGGCCAAAAAGAAGAAGCCAGCCGGTAATCCTGCACGCGGCTTTGCAACCACGTCTGTCGCCAGCAAACCCAAGCCCGAGAGGTCTGCTGCTGACGCCCCGGCCAAACAAGTTTCCCAAGTGCAGTCAAAAGAAAGCCAAGCAGCACCAGAGCCGGCATCTCAGGCACCCCAGCAGGCTGCATTACCAAAAGAGGAAGTTGCACAAACCCCCGAGGAGCTCGAGGCCCAACTCGAGCGCGATGAGCTTCAATTGTTAGTTGAAAAACATGCTGCCAAAGCCCGCCGGGAATCCAGTCGCCATGTTACACGCTTCCAGACCGACCGTAGGCTTTTGCGCAGCCAGTCTCACTCTATTGCTGTTCATGAATGGCTGCCCGGAGAGATCCTAGACAGCATCATACTTTTAGCACAGGCCGAGTCCAATGATTCAAATAGGAGACAGGGCCAACAGTCTTTCCTGAAAATTTTGACCGAAGAAGACGCTATTTTCAAGCTATGGACGCTTGATTTGACCCTCCGTGAACTCGGCTTCTCGGACAATCACATCGAACCTGTCCTAACATGGCTCTGTGCCAATGCTGCTGGCGTCGATGCATCTTCTGCCATATGGGGCTTTCAAGAAGCCTTGGAATGGCTTGCACTCGACCAGTGTGAAGATTTCAATTTTTCCTATGAAGAGTCACCCCCCAAGCGCGCAGCTCTCGACGCTCCTCCTCCTTCGCGACCTGGTGAGTCGTCCACCTTCTTGTAAACTTTAGTGCGTCTCGCTAACCAAAAATAGTTACACCACCCCGTGAACCACTGGCAAAGACCGCAGCCACACCAGCAGCCTCAACGCCCGCAAAAGCCAATGGATCTACTACGCCTGCCGAAAATGACCAAAGTGATGTTCATGTCAGCGATATCGACAGTGATATTGACGAGGAGGACCTCATCCCCACATATCTCAAGATCAAAAGCAAACTTTACGAAATTGACCCGCAGCTCGTAGAAACAAACACACGAAAGTCACAGAAGGGTGCCAAATCGAAAAAGTCCGAGCCTGTTCCTCCCCAGACACCAGCCGTTCGAAAGTTACTCTCTCAGTTGCAACAGCTGAAGTCGGATTCCCTATTTGATGAAGATGAAGCAGAGACACAGTGGCCAGCCAGGCGAAATCAGATCGCCAAGAATCAAGCCGAAAAACGTCAGCGAAACGGCATACCGCCCCAGGTTCCACAGGAACAGAAAGAAAACGATGAAATCCAACCTCCAAAACCCACTGAAGCTGAAGTGCCCGCAACTGAAGCACCCCCAGCTGCTAGTCAAGATGAGGAGGATATGGATTTACTCGGTGAAATGTTCTCTGCAGTTCCTGAATCGCCACCGAAATTGGAAAATACACCCAACGGCGCAGGTTCTGCTCATGTGACTATACGCGACTTTGGAAAGGCAAGCGGGGTATCTCCCCGCAAATTGCTCGAAGAGGCGGTTCGCTCAAGGTATGCAACAAATGACCTCCGGTTTGAGTGTATCAGCTAAGCATCGTTAGGGACTCTGGTGCGAGTTTGTCGTATGCAGTCATCTCACCTACCGAGTACACTTGCCGGCATTCACTCACTATTACTTGGTCGAAGGATGTCGATATTGAATATGACACAGAAGTTGCTGGAGTAACTACGACTCCTTATAGAGGGCAAATTACATTCGCGGCTATCGACCTCGCAACCGTGTCCGCTGAGCAAAGTGAGAGCTACATCTCAGTCGTTGCACTCTTCTCCATCTCTGTTGCCTCGCCAAAGGACGAAAAGGTTCATCTGCGACTGCCACCGAACTGGAGAGAACTTTATAGAGAATTTCTCGAAAGTCGAAAAACACGTCTTGATGCCGCCGATCGTGACGCCATAAAGCGCTACCGTTCATTCGTTCAGGATCAAGTTGAGAATGAAGAATCAGATGGCGTTGTTTTCACGAATCGCTTCAAGATGCGCAACCAGGCCGCCACAGGCTCTAGTGCATCAAACTCGGGGTATAACACGCCAATACGCCAACACGAAAGTCTAAGAGAGCTATGGGTTGCCAAAGTCTCTACTCCTTCATATCAACACATGCTTGTCGCCCGATCAAATCTTCCGGTCTTTGGTTTCAAGGAGTCGATTCTGTCGACGGTGGACAAGAACCAAGTCACTATAATTTGCGGTGAGACTGGGTGTGGAAAGAGTACGCAAATTCCGGCCTTCGTTCTCGAGCACGAGCTTGCACAGGGCAAGGCATGTAAAGTATACTGCACTGAGCCCAGACGAATCTCCGCTATTTCGCTTGCGCAACGCGTGAGTGAGGAGCTGGGCGAGGGACCGAAAGATCTTGGGACTATGCGCTCACTTGTCGGTTACGCAATCCGACTTGAGTCCAAGATGTCATCACAGACTCGTCTAGTGTACGCAACTGTAGGTGTTGTACTGCGTATGTTGGAGTCTTCGGGATCTTTACAAGAGGTTACGCATTTGATCATTGACGAGGTCCACGAAAGGTCCATTGACACGGACTTTCTCTTGGTTATTCTACGGTCGCTGATGGTGCGTCGGCCTGAATTGAAAGTGATTTTGATGAGTGCTACCGTTGATGCCGCCAAATTCTCACGATACCTCAATGACGCACCGATCTTGACTGTGCCTGGTCGCACCTTTCCAGTGCAGACAAGGTACCTTGAGGATGCTATTGAGCTGACGCATTATACGGGGGCATCCGAGCAGAACACGAACACTACTACCAGCGACAACGACGAGGATGATGAAGTCACAAGTGACAAATCTGGCATTCCTAGCAAACTCCCTGGTTACAGCGCTGCAACGCGCAATGTGCTCTCCAACTACGACGAATACGCCATTGACTACGATTTGATTACCCGACTTGTTGAAACCGTTGCCTACGATCCGCAACTGAGCCGCTTTAGCAGCGCCATTCTTGTTTTTCTTCCAGGTATTGCCGAAATCCGCCAACTGAACGATATTCTGGCGGGCCACCCTTCGTTCAAAGCCGATTGGTATGTGTATCCGTTGCACTCTACAATCTCAAGCGAGGACCAGCAAGCTGCATTTTTGATTCCTCCACCGGGCGTGCGCAAGATTGTGCTCGCGACGAACATTGCAGAAACTGGAGTAACAATCCCGGACATTACCTGTGTCATCGACGTTGGCAAGCACAAAGAGATGAGGTTTGACGAACGAAGGCAACTCTCACGTCTGACGCAGTCTTTCATCTCAAGAGCCAACGCGAAGCAGCGCCGTGGCCGTGCAGGCCGTGTCCAGGAGGGATTATGCTTCCACCTGTTTACGAAATACCGTCACGATAACCTGATGGCTGAACAACAAACGCCAGAGATGCTGAGGCTGTCACTGCAAGATCTGGTCATGCGTGTCAAGATTTGCAAGCTGGGAGATATTGAGGCAACACTTGCTCAGGCGCTCGACCCACCCTTGTCCAAGAACATCCGGCGTGCCATTGATGCACTTGTGGAGGTTGACGCTCTCACATCAAGTGAAGAGCTCACGCCACTTGGTCGCCAAATTGCAAAGCTGCCACTGGACGCGCACCTGGGCAAGCTCGTATTGCTAGCTTGTACATTTGGCTGTGTCGACGTTGCTATCACTATCGCTGCCATTCTCTCTTCCAAGTCTCCCTTCGTAACACCTTTCGGCGCAAAGCAGCGCGCTGATATAGCACGCCTTGGTTTCAAGAAAGGCGACTCGGACCTACTGACAACCTACAATGCCTACAAGGCATGGAAATCCGTATGCATAACTGCCGGCCGATCAGAGATGCAATTCTGCCACAAAAACTTCTTGAGCGCCCAGAACCTAGGCAACGTCGAGGATCTCAAAGCACAGCTTCTCTCATCGCTCGTAGAAGCAGGCTTCGTGCAACTGACGCCAGATGAACGCCGAGCCCTAAACCGCTACAGAAGCACACCGCGCCACCGTGTATTCGTCGATGTACCAGCCCAATACGACACCTACTCTGATAACGACCTCCTCGTCAACTCAGTCATTGCAACAGCCTTCTACCCCAAGATGCTAACACGCGAGGGCAAAGGATGGCGCAATATATCCAACAACCAGACCGTCAGCCTCGCACCCACATCCGTCAATAAGGGATCGTCAACTGTACATTTCCTGTCCTACTACCACATCATGCAGTCCAGCAACAAATTCTACAACGCTCACTCGACATCGATTGCGTACCCCTTCGCTATGGTCCTCATGGTCGCTGCGGATCTCGACTTCAAACTGCACGCCGGCGTGATTAGTCTACCAGGCAACGTAGTCCGGTTCTCGGTTAGAGAGTGGCGCGCAGCCGTAGGCCTGAAGGTGCTAAGGCGCAGGGTCAAGGAGATCTTGGCGAATAGCTGGAAGAATCCTGCGCGCCAGTTGAGTCATCGCGAGCAAGAGTGGTTGGGCCTGTTTTTCGGCATTTTCGAGCAAAAGTTTGAAAAGGAAGAGAGGATTAGGGAAAAGGCTGCGGGAAAGGCCAAGTAGAAGAGAACTCTAGACAGAAAAAAGTATTTGTCAATTGGCAATGAAATTTTTTTTTAAACTTCACCAGGATGTTTGATATTTGTATATGTGTTTTGCGTGAATGAGGCTCAATTGGCCCAAAAAAGGGTATGTATGTAAAGAGGAAGTTTCTGCTTGCTGTTTCATACAGATGGCTTCTCAAACTCGGCCTTGCCATCCTTGATGGTGGCGTATCTCACCGTTCCAGATGCATCAGTATTTGGTATGGGTGCCTTTGTGCCTTGTTCGCCAATGGACTTGATTTCCTCTTTGATCTTCCTCGTCACGGCGTCTTCAACCGCGCCTGGCGGACTATCGGCAATCTCATCGACGTCTCGAAGTGTGAGAACGTCACTGATGCGTGAAGTACGCGACTGGACGAGCATGGTGGTTGGGCCCTCAAAGCGGAGGAAGAGCTGGGCAATGTCAGTCAGATATGTGCAGTAAATAGTGTAGGTCATGTGTTCAGCGTACCCTGTCTCCCCAGACTGTCCTCCGCATCCATGTCTTGAGGGTGTGGTATGTGGTGGCTAGCGCACGCCATGTAGCCGTCTTGCTCATTGTTCGGAAGAACTGTGTGTTCTGGACCAGCGACCCGAAGCCCAGGTCTGGGACTTGGAATCGCACATTGGAGGATTTGAAGCGGAAGGGGACGGGTGGGGTGTTGGAGGCTGTGTATGCTACCACGTTGCTGGGTAGTGGGGTTAGTCAAAGATGGGTAATTGGTCGTTGCTCAGGACAGAGAGGGGCGTACCTAGGGTGGGCTACGTAGCTCTCGCCAGCCTTGACGTGGACCTGGTAAATCTGGCCGTTTCCTGTCAGTGCGAGCAGACCTCGACCTGTGATGTATGTGTTTCCCCAATGTGCCAGGCCGAGCTTGACATTGTATTGCGGCTTCAGCTTCAAGGTGAGGCCAGTCCACGCAAGCAGCGCCTGCCTTTGGCTGATGATCCAGTCATCCCTTCCGTCCAGGTTTACAGAGACAATGCTCGATATGGGCGTCTTGGTGGAGATAAGTGCTGTGACGGGGCTGGTCGACAACACTTTTTGATAGAGGAATGGAATGCCGACGGGCGCGCGCTGGAAAGGCTCGAGGACAGACAGAGTAGACAGGGTGTTTTCCGACTTGCCGCTGAGGCCGACGAGGGTGCCGCGACGGGTGTAGAGCGTCTGGGAGGCCGAGAGGGAGACGGAGAGGAGGGAGAAGGGCGTGCCGATGACGTCGAAGCGGGCGTCTGGGCAGGCCGAGTATTTTAGCAGGGTCGCCTCGCTAAGGCCACAGAGAAATGCATACCGGGCGTGTGCATGGGCGTGGCGGTGCCCTCAACACTGACTGCCTGCTGCAGGCTTGGTTCTGGCGACGGGCTGGTGGCCGAGATGTTGATGCATCGCGCCGCAATTGATGGGCGGGCAGCGGGTGCGCATGTGCGGGCCAGGTTCACCCAGGGCGAGGCAGCCGATCGTAACATGGCTGTGCCGGGCAATTGGCGTGTATGTGGTGGTGTCGAGATGGGTTGTTGGAGGTGCAGTAGTAGTAGCCGCAATGGCCGTGATTATTATTATTAGCAGTATCGGCCGGAATTAATTATTAGTCGTTATGATGCAAGCTCGCCCGCCCGCCCGCCGCAGACGCGCTAGACAAGGTGGGATGGGCTGCATCCATGTCTGGTGGGCTTCTCCAGGTACTCTCCATATGACGTGCTCGTCTTCCTCTCTTCCGCCACTTTTTGTTCAAGCAATTGAACGCACGCGCGGGTTTCTTCTTCTTTTTCTTTGCTCCTGGCGTCTTTAACATGTCAGTGCCGTCATGTTAATTCCACCTCTTGCCCGCGCCGCCTGTCGGCCGGGTCTTCACGCATCCACGCTGCGCCTTCACCCTGTACACCACGGCATCCGCGTCTTCACCTCGTCTCCTCTCCATAGAAAAGATGCTCATGGCGAGCGGCCAAAGCCAGCATCTCAGCCGGCGCTCGAGGCTACCAAGCCCGCAGCCAATGCTACGACTGCGAAAACCAAAGTCGCAAAGGCGGACCCGCTGCTGCAAGAACAGGTCTTGACCAACAAGGAACAGCGCAAGGCCGACTGGGCCATTATCAAGGAAATGTCGCAGTACTTGTGGCCAAAGGACAACATGGGCACCAGATTCAGGGTTGGGCTGAGTGTGGGGTTGCTTGTTGGTGCAAAGCTGCTCAACGTGCAGGTCCCCTTCTACTTCAAGAGCATTGTAGACGCCATGAACATAGATTTTGCTGCTGTAGGCGGTACCGCAACTACAGTGGCAGGCTCCATGATTATCGCCTGTAAGCTAGACCCAGTAATGCATACTCGTCCCATTTTGGCTGAGACTGCGACCAGACGGCTTGACCCGTATCGGTGCCACTGTATCCCAAGAACTGCGAAACGCCGTCTTTGCCAGTGTTGCCCAAAAGGCCATTCGCAAGGTGGCCTGCAGTGTCTATGAGCATTTACTAAGGCTGGACTTGAGTTTCCATCTATCAAGGCAAACTGGAGGCCTGACAAGGGCCATTGATCGTGGTACAAAGGGCATCAGTTTCTTGCTGACTGCCATGGTCTTTCACATTTTCCCCACTGCACTCGAAATCTCACTTGTATGCGGCATCCTGACCTACCAATATGGCTGGCAATTTGCCCTCATCACCGGCACTACAATGACTGCTTACTCTGTCTTTACCATCATGACCACCTCGTGGAGAACAAAGTTTAGGAAACAGGCCAATGCTGCTGATAACAAGGCAGCTACCGTTGCAGTCGACTCTATGATTAACTATGAAGCTGTCAAGGTATGTTTCAAGGACAGGGTTTCTAGTTTTCCCTATTAATGTGTGCAGTACTTCAACAATGAAAAGCACGAAGTCAGGCGTTATGACAAAGCCCTTCAGGACTACGAGAAAGCCTCCATCAAGGTCGCCACTTCCCTGGCCTTTCTCAACTCAGGTCAAAACATCATCTTCTCCTCTGCTTTGACTGCCATGATGTATCTCGCTGCCAACGGCGTCGCAACCGGACAACTGACTGTCGGCGACCTTGTCATGGTCAACCAACTCGTCTTCCAACTCTCTGTACCCCTCAACTTCCTCGGCTCCATGTACCGCGAACTCCGCCAGAGCCTGCTCGACATGGAAACCCTCTTCAACCTGCAGAAAGTAAACGTGACCGTCAAAGACAAGCCCAACGCTCCCCCACTGGTCCTCAAGACCGGCGAAATCAAATTCGAAAACGTATCCTTTGGCTACCGTCCCGACCGCCCGATCATCAAAAACCTCACCTTGACCATCCCCGCCGGCAAGAAAGTCGCCATAGTCGGTCCCAGCGGCTGCGGAAAATCCACAATCCTCCGCCTGCTCTTCCGCTACTATGACCCGCAGGAAGGCCGCATCTTGATCGATGGCCAAGATATCCGCGACGTCAATCTGGAGAGTCTACGCCGTGCAATCGGTGTGGTACCTCAAGATACGCCTCTCTTCAACAA